TCCCCTGCCGCAGCCTTTGGAGATACAGATCTGAACGTAAGATCCTTGCCCCCTGTCTCCTAGATAGACATTCTTCTTCCCTATAATACAGGCATTGGCACACAGGCTCTATGAAGGGCCAGATAAAAAAATATCTGGCTTTGCAGGCTACATGGTCTTTGTCACAACTCTTCAACTCCACTGTTGCAGTGTGAAAGCAGCCATGGACAATATATAAATGAATGGGCATAGCTGTGCTCCAATAAAGCCTTATTTACCAAAATGGTGGCAGGCCAGATTTAGCCCATGGATCATCATCTGCTGACCCCTGCTATATGACAATATCCGAAGTTGAGGTAGTCACATCTTGGGGTATCTGCTTTAACTGTCCCTCACCCACTGCACTTCATAAGCCCTACTATCTCCTCCCCACCCCACTCTGGTGGACTCAGTTGATTGACCCACACTGGGAAGACACAGGTGGTGATACCCAATCCAAGCTGGGCTACTCAGAGTCTTTCCCCAGGCCTTAGGAATTGGACCAAGTGGGTCAGTTGGGTCTGCAGCTGATTTACACTGGGAACCGAGGGACCACCATCTTCTTCCTGCCTCCTAGACAGAGATGCAGAGAAAAGTGGGCTGTAGACAGTGCAAAACTGCTTTGGTCTGAATATTTGCCTGTCCCCTAAATTCATGTGTTGAAACCCTCACCCGCAAAGTGATGGTATTAGGAGGTGGGGCCTGTGGCTAGATCATGAGGGTGGCGCCTTCATAAATTGGATTAGTGCCCTTATAAAAGAGACCCCAGAGAGACCCTTGCCCCTTTCATCATGTGAGGACACAGTGAGAAGGCACCATCTCTGAACCAGAAAGCAGGCCATCACCAGATACTGAATCTGCCAGCAGCTTGGTCTTGGACTTCCCAGCCTCCAGAACCATGAGGAATAGATCTCTGTTGCTTATAAGCCCCCCAGTTTATGGTATTTTGTTATAGCAGCCCTATGGTTCTAAGACAGGAATGAAATAACCCATGTGGAAAGAGGCTGCCTGGCATCCTAATGCTCTTTCAGACTGTCCCATCCTGTCCTGAGCCCTGCCTACGTTCTGGCCCTGTGTTCCCCAAAGCCCTCTGGATCCTTCTTGAAGAGTCTACTTTTCTGTTTATACTGGCTAAATTGGTGCTTCCTTCAATTAACCAAGCAAGGCATTCTGAACCACTTTCTGCCTCTGCACTCCATTCATACAATTAATTGGCTTTTGTGCCAGGACTTGCCCCGCAGTAGATACCTATGCAACTAAGATACGTCCTTGCCCTCCAGCAGCAGATAGGTAACAAAATAGGGAAGATGGACATCTGTGTTCCTCACTCTTGCACAACCCACAGTGTACTGATAAGGAGTGCATAAACCGCCAAGGAGGAAGGGGTATGGATTAGGAGGTGAAGGAAATCTGAGAGTCTTGGCAGAGGAGGGACCATCTGTAGGCCTTGGAGAGTGAGTTGACTTTGGGCAGAAAAATAAAGGGGAGGAGGTGGTGCTTGAGTATAGAGCAACATTTTCCAAATTAGGTTCATAGAACACTAATCCCAGGAGGGGTTTTGTGGTATCCATCTTCCCCTTCTTTCTTACCCATAGACTTCTGATTCCATCCAACTGATAATGTGCTCCTTAGAAATACTCGCATTCCCAGGCTCCTTTGCAGCTAGAGTGATCATGTGATACTTTTGGCTAATGAGATGTAAGCAGAAGTCAGCTGGAGGATGATTCCAGGATATAAAGGTTCAAACTCACCTTTGCACCTTGCCTTCTCCTTCTTCCTGCCTGGAATGTAGCTGTGGTGCCTGAAAGGGCTGAGACCATTTTGCAACCATCAGGATGAAAGCTACATGTTAAGGAGGGCAGAGCAGGAAACTGGAAGGAGTCTGGTTTCCCAGTGCCATGTCTGAGCCACCACATCAGCCCTGGACTGCTTATTTCTGTACAGGTTCCTAGCCACTACTGAGGGAGGTGATTCTTTTATTTGCAACTCAACAAAATCATTTCTAACAAATGCAATGTTTAATGATAAAAGAGTTCTAAGGACCAAATCAGTTTGTGTATATGAATTTCCACTGTCAGAGAGTCACAAAATAGGTTATTACAGGTTCTGAGAAACCTTAACGTGAAGATCACTGTCTAACCCAATGTTTCCCAAAATATTTGTTCACCAACACCTCCACTGCCAGGATGCCAATGGGCATCCCATGGAACACACTTCAGGAAACAAGCTATAGAGGAAGGAGTATGGGCTTCTGAGTCAAGAAAAATCTGGGTTGTAATGCTGCGTGGCTTCAGGCATCTCACGTAACCTCTCTGAGCCTGAGGTTCCTACTACATAAAACGAGGGAGGGACATTACAGTTTACAAGTAATCCAGGTAAAGGACTCGGCACCGTCTGTGTCTCCCAGTCAGTCATCAACGATTCTCATTAGCTGCTAGGATCATGTTTTGGAAGGAACATAGCATCAGAGACAAAAGTCCCTGGTTTGAGTGATGGTTTGCCGCTTTCTTTCTCTGTGACCTTGGGCCAGTGGTTGCACTTCTCCGAACCTCCGTGTTCTGAATGGCAGAGGAGGAATTATAATGTCTACTTGGGCAAGAGGAGATACGTGGAAAAGCCTGGCCCAGGGAGGACATTCCCCCAGTGCAGGAGCCCAGAGCTCTGCCACCAGACCCTGCCTCCAGTCCCTGCAGGCCAGCCCTCTGCCCCAAAAAGGCTACAACATTTGGCTTCTGCATTTTCATTTGTAAGGCGTCTGCCTCGCCTCCCTGCCCACTTGTCTATCTTCCCTCAGGGATCGCTACTGAACCCTTCTGGGAGCTCCCCAGTGCAGAGCCTCCACTTCAGCCAGCTGTCTCCTCATCAGTCTGCAGCGCCCAGTGCAGCGCCCAGTGCAGCCTCCCAGCCTCGGCTCAGGCCAGGGTCCCCTCCAGCCCTCCCAGGCAGCCACATCACGAGGCTCAAACAAAAGCACAGGTGCGTGGCCTGAAGACCCAGACTGCATCTTCACGCTGTGTGTGAGGCCTTGGGGAAATGGCTTCCCCTCTGAGCCTCAGTTTTCTCCTCTATAAAAGGAAGCGGTTGCAACACATGGAATTGAAAATGAAGATGATGAGACTGCCTTCACAGAGTTGTGAGGAAGATTAAATGAAGAGAAAAGCATATCTGCACGTGCATTGATGACAACATGCAATATTCATTGGTTACTATTATTTACATTTTATTTTCTCAGCCTTACTTTTGAGGCCTTTCGTTCTTCTTAGTTCCCCTCCCCCCTCTTCAGAGTGAGCTTGACTTTTTATTTGACATGTACTGAGTGTTAACTGTGTGCTGGGTACCCTGTTTGTATCATCTTATTTCATCTGCCCCCACATTCTCTGAGGTAAATCCTCTTTTTATTCCTATGCTCCAGTTAAGGAAACAAGCTTGGAGAGGCTAAGTCATTGGCTTGGGTCAGATGGCATATATATAGCAGATCTGAGGCTTGAATCCAGGTATTCTGGTGTTAAGGCTTATGCTTCTCACTACAGCACTATCGTGCTTCCCTCCCGGCTGTCAAAACCTGTCTATCAATCCTGACCCCAGGTGAATGAGGCCAATATTAACTTGCTCATCTGTCTCAGGAACAGATCTCATGCCTTATTAGTCATTGACATGTTAGTGTGAACTGAAACCTACTTTCTGAAGTTCTTTTCTGGCTCATCTCAGGCAGAGGTCCCTGCTGCCTCCTTTGTACCCCCAAAGCTTATGTAATTCCCCAGCATAGCCTTGCCACATTGCATTGCAATGGTACCTGTCTGTCCCTCTGAACTGAATTTGTGGATTGGTCAAGGATTATATGTATTCATCTCAGTGTCCCCAGTGACCAACACAGCACCTGCCACTAAGCAGACACCCAATTAAATCTGATGAATGAACAAATGAAGCGAGTTAATCATACCTCCTAATGAAAGCCATATGCATAAATGAATCTTGAGGCAGTTTTCATTTTAGTGAAATGACAGTGATAGGTACTTAGAGTCGGGGCTGGTCCTACCAGGAAGGGGCTATAAATTAGGGAGCCCCCAAAATTCCCTTCTATTCCCAGAAACGCTCCCTCACCTCATTGCTGCTCACTGTTCGAGCTTTCCTTTCACTGTGGGCAGATTTTCCTTCCCCTGGGAAGCCCTCTCCCTTCCTTTAAACTTCTGTTCAAGTCCCACCTCCTTCCAGAAGTCCTCCACCCAAATCCTGATCCATCCCCCTTGTCTCTGAACTCCTGGGTTCGATTGCAGCTCATTTTGCAGCCAGACACTAACAGAAACCAACCATGTATTAAACAGGGAACACATCGAAAGGCTTTTAAGCAGTGCTCAGGGCTGATGCGAAGGTGGGAGACTCAAGCATAGGAAATGAACAGGGGTGAGGGAAGCCAGGCGTTCCGTCCCCAGCTGGATCCACACTGCAGGGATTACCTGGTGAGGTGGCCACCACTGGCCTTGGGCCTTGCTGCGAGGATGAGCACAGAACTGCCTTACTTCTTCTCATCACTCACTTACAATCCACCTCCAGCTTGGAAGAAGCAAAGGGGCAAGCTTAGATCAGATGCCCGCATCCTCGGCACAGCAAAGTGGGGCTCTGTTCCGTCCCGGGCCACACACCAGGGTGTGTTGCACAAATACAGCAAGGGCTCGGGACCACGGGAGTCCACCCCTCTGGCTGCCCAGCCTTCATGCCCATCCCTCTCCTGTTCTTATGACTTGCCAAGGCGTGAGTAATGACCACATGCAAGAGGTTTTTAGGAAGCAAACTCAGCAAGGCTTGCAGATGAATTGGATATGGGATGAGGGGAAGTACTAAAGCCGCCTCCTGGGTTTCTGGCCTGCAGAGCTAAGGGGATGGAGATGTCATCACAGAGGTGGGACCACTCAAAGGGGACTTAGTGTTGGAAACAGGTCAATAGCTCACTCTCCATACACCCGCTCCAAAGCTCCCAGACTCACCTCTTCACCCAGAGCAGTTTATCCTGACTCTGCTCCATGCTGTCCTTTGGCCACACCACTTTACCAGGCCAGTATTTCCCATTTATGTTCCCTCTTCCTCAGCAAGCTCTCTCTAACCTCAGCCATTAGTGCTTTTTCTTTCTTGAGCAATATATAGCCTATAATCCCAGCACTTTGGGAGGCCAGGACAAGTGGATCACTTGAGTCCAGGAGTTCAAGACCAGCATGGGCAACCTGGCGAAACTCCATCTCTACAATAACAACAACAAAAAATTAGCCAGGCATGGTGGCATGAGCCTGTAGTTCCAGCTACTTGGTGAGGCTGAAGTAGGAGGATCGCTTGAGCCTGGGAGGTCAAGGCTGCAGTGAGCCAAGATCGCATCACTGCATTCCAGCCTGGGTGACAGAGCGAGACCACATCCCAAACAAACAAGTAAACGAAAAACAATACATGTAGGCCGGGCACAGTGGCTCACATCTGTAATTCCAGAGCTTTGGAAGGCTGAGGTAGGAGGATTGCTTGAAGTCAGGGGTTGGAGGCTGCAGTGAGTTACAATCATGCCACTGCACTCCAGCCTGGGCAACAGAGTGATACTCTGTCTAAAAAAAAAAAAAAAAAAAAAGGCCAGGCACGGTGGCTCAAGCCTGTAATCCCAGCACTTTGGGAGGCCCAGGCGGGTGGATCATGAGGTCAAGAGTTCGAGAGCAGCCTGGACAGCATGGTGAAACCCTGTCTCTACTGAAAATACAAAAATTAGCCGGGAGTGGAGGTGCACGCCTGTAATCCCAGCTACTCAGGAGGCTGAGGGAGGAGAATCGCTTGAACCCAGGAGGTGGAGGTTGCAGTAAGCTGAGATTGTGCCACTGCACTCCAGCCTGGGCGAAAGAGGAAGACTCTGTCTCCAGGCGGGGGGTGGGGGGGGAAGAGAATCCAACATTATACTTTATTGCATGCCTACCATGCACCTGGCACTGTGCTGGGGGCTGAACTCACTTCCCACCCATCCTGCCTATGGGCTGGGGAGGCAGGGGCAAGCTTGCTCATCACAGGCAGAAACTCAGGTCCAAAGCTTAGAAAGAAACTCACCCAAAGGTTCACAGCCACCCACATCAGGGGCTGGACTCAGACGAGCATCTTTGTCCCTTGTCCCAGCACAGCCCACCCCATTTGGGGCTGCCTCTCTACAGCCGCTGGGAAGAGAAGCTTTTTCTAATTGGCTAATTCTGTGGGGAAAGTTGAGGGGGTGTTTGGGGGCAGGTAGGGATTGGCGTGAGAAGGGGTGATGGAGTCTGCCTTCATTCCGGGATCCCCAGGCCAGGCTTCCTTCTGGTGGTGCTTCCCTGCAGGAAGAGAAAGCATGGGGCCATTGCACAGAGCCCTCTCTGAAAGCAACTGCCCAGGCTACCAGAGCCTGCTCTAGAGGCAGGCGCCTGAACCCCCAGCAGGGCCAGCTCCACCGGGCAGGGAAAGGGCCCTGCTCTCCCTCTCTCATCCCCACATCTTAATGCCAGAGCAGGGGCCATAGGGAGAAAAGAGGGACTCTGTAACCTGTACAGCACTGAGGGCCCCTTAGGCTGGTCAGAGAGGAGAGGGGAGGATGGGGAGAGGAAATCAGAGAGGGATGGAAACGGCTCCCCACCTCCCTGTCCTGTCTCCCTCCCTCCATCTTCTTTCCCTTTAAAATGTAGGAGCCCAGGGCCCACGGCGAGGCCGCAGTGCTGAGCCACACTACCTGGCTCCAGGCTGGGCAGGGGACCCTGGTCTGTGTCCATGTCCAGTGGGTGTCAGGGGCAGGGGCCGCTGCCAAGCCGTCTTCCCAACTGCAGCATCCCCCAGAGCTCCCAGCTGCCCTGAGAGGCCTGATGGTTCCCTCAGGACACTGAGGAGCCTGCAGACGCAGCTGCTACCTTGATACGAAGCTCTTCCAGCCCACAGCGTCACCACGCGTTCTCTGTAAGTTATGTTTTAACATAAGACCTTCTATTTGGACTCAGTGACGTGCGTTGAGCACAAAGCAGCTGCCAGGCTCCCTGAACACACGCATTTGTGGAGTCTCCCAAGGAGGCCAGGACTGGCGAAGGATCTTCTCTTACCAAGGAGGACTCGGCACCCGGAGCGGCAAGGCCAGGCCCTAGGGGCACTGCGCTGGGCCAGGGTGTCACTTGGCGCCTTTGCTGTCCCCTGAGGTTCAGAACTGCTTTTCCCAGAACCCCCTTCTCTGTAGGGTTCAAGTTGGCAAGATTTGCAAGGTGGAAGTGAAGTGCAGGGCTTGGGGCCAGGCCAGGGACAGGCACAGAGGTGTCCCGGGGCCCTGGCTTGTCCCTGCCTAGGCACTAAAGAGCTCCTGTTTCTGACTGCTGACCCTGCCGCCCATCAGCGACCCCCAGGCCACCACCAGGTGCCTCTACAGGGTCACAGTCTTCCAGGCCTCCTCACGAGCTCTCCCTCCACAGCTCCAAAGGCCAGGGCCTGAAACCCAAAGAGGCCCAGCGAATGAGCACCCTACGACTGTGCAGGCAGGTTGTACGGCGTAGTGGCCACAACACAGACAGACAAATCCCAGCCCCATCGCTTACCTGCCTGTAAGAGCTCAGCAGGGTCATGGCCCCCCATGGAGCCTCAGTTTCCCCATCTGAAAAATGAGGGTAATTGTCTCTGTCTACAGAGTGGATGTGAGGGTTTGAGATCATGTCCTAAAGCACCTGGCCATGGAAGGCGCCCCACTCAGTGGCACACTTCACAATGACCTCCTGTCAAAGAAACACTCATATTACCTGTTTTCTAGAACATATGCCCTTCGCGCATGAATGTACACTTAAAAAATAATAACGAAAAAAATGAAACTTGAACTCCAAGTCTCTGCTGCACCCCTAGCCCAGCTCCCTGAGAGCCTGGTCACTCTCAGAGGAACTCACTGAGTTCCTGCAGCTGGTCTGAAACCTTCTTCACACTTGGGTCTAAGAAACATCCCAGTCCTTCAGTTTTCTAAATCTGGCTCATCTGTATCCCCATGCCTCCCATATCCCCTTTACAAGAGCCAATTAATTTCTTTCTTCTTCTTCTTTTTTTTTTTTTTTTTTGGAGACGAGTCTCTCTCTGTGGCCCAGGCTGGAGTGGCACGATCTTGGCTCAGTGCAACCTCCGCCTCCCAGGTTCAAGAGATTCTCCTGCCTCAGCCCCCTCAGTAGCTGGGATTACAGGCACCCACCACCATACCCAGCTAATTTTTGTATTTTCAGTAGAGACGGGGTTTCACCATATTGGCCAGGCTGATCTCGAACTCCTGACCTCAAGTGATCTGCCTGCCTCAGCCTCCCAAAGTGCTAGGATTACAGGTGTGAGCCACCACGCCTGGCCCACAAGGGCCAATTTCTAGAGCATTTCTGCAGCATCCTATATCTCCACCCCTTCTTCAATCCTACAAGAAGCTGTGCATGGACTTGGTGTCCCAGGACATGGGGTAGGGCCGGGCCCACAGCCCAGGCTGTGACATTGACATTGATGCTGCCCCTTCCTCTGCAAATGTCTGCTGCAGGACCTGTTCTTTGTCCTCTGGCCCCTGCTTCATGGAGCCAGCTACTGAGATGTTCCACTCTGCTGGCTGTGTACAGAGCCACCAAAGACCCCTGTCCAGTCCCCTGATCCCCACTGCCAGCCCAACAAGGCCCTGCCTGCACTGGGGAGCAGGCACAGGACCCCATCTCAGGAACTCACAGCCTCCTCATCTCCTCTCTCAGCAGAACATCCAGAGCTACCATCTTCTTCCAGGTACCTTGTCACCCTCTCCCTGATCTTAAATGCACCCTATCCTCCCAGGCCTGCCCCCACCCCAGGAAAACCAGATCCATCCCAGGATGACCAAATCTGGTGGCAGCACCCAAAATACACAAACACTGTCACCCTTGCTCACCCCTCACCCACCTCTGCCCCACCCTAGCACTCAAAGTCTTGGATTCCCCTTTCCAGAAAGAGGGACTGAGATGCTGCTTTCATTTTCCTCCATCACAAAACTAAACTATGATCTTAAATATCCTTTTCAACAATTCACTTTGTAACCTACACACTCAGGCCCCTGGGGCCCAGCTGCCTGCCCAGGATGCTGGAATTCCAGAGAAAGAGCTGCTGCTCTGCTAGCTGGCCACCAAATGCCCAGCCCCCAAAGGTGGATATAACTCCCCTCGCAGACGGGACTCACTCTGTGATTTGTCAATGGCGGCACTAACATGAGTTTGCATTCATTGCTCTGACAAGGGTAATGTCCAGAGCGGAATGGGTGGGAATAAACCATTGAAAAATCCATTAGGAAGTGAGTCCACAGGTGGCAGGGTGACTGTGTGATTTATCATTCACCCGGGATATCATCTATACTTGGTAGGGTGACCAGATGATGTATTTTCCAAACAGAGACACTTGTGAGCGAGAACGAGGGGTCAGTAGTAATTACGCCGGGCAGCAGATGTAAATCAGGCTTTCCCCAGGCGGCTTGGACATGTGGTCACCCATTAACTGGAAACTGGGGCCCATTTTTTTTTCTCTCATTAGCTCCCATGAAAGTCTGGGCAAGTTTCATGGTTTCCAATGTAGAAATGAAGAAACTGAAGTTACGAGCAAGGAGGTGATGTGCCCAAGGCTGGGCAGAGGTTAGGAGCCCTCCCGCCGGGCTCCGTCCTCTGCAGCCCTTGTGGCTGGCCCAGGCCCTCATCACACTGGCTCACAGCTTACTTCATGTCCAGAGAACCTACCAGGGCAGTTCTCAGCGGCAGGGCCAGAAAGGGATTCTGGAACTCTGGAGGTTGAAGACACAGGTATCTTTATGATCAGGTGAGGAGAAACCCTGGCCAGAGACAAGGGGTTGGATGAGATGACCTCTGAGGACATCTACAGCTGTAGAGGAGGAACCCAGTGTCAGACCCCACTTGGGGCAGCGTGCTACATTGTGCCTTAATAAGCACAAGAGGGCGCCCTCGCACCAACAAAGAAACATGTCTTGACACGTTCTCCCAAAGCTAAAGCAAAGGCCCGTTCACTTTTTGTTACCTGTTAAGTTTTAATTATTTTTCTTTTTGAAACAATGTCATACATGCAGAAAAGTTGCACGTATAGTACAAGTAATTCTCCCCCTGTCCCCCAACCATTAAGAGTAACTTGCTGAAATCACTCCCCAGGTTCACCAAATTCTTTTCTTTTCTTTTCTTTTTTTTTTAGATGGAGTCTTGCTCTGTCGCCTAGGCTGGAGTGCACGATCCCTGC